GTCCTTACTGATAAATGCTCCTTTTCTATTCCCACTCCACACTGTTGCTGCCCGTAATATACCACCTGTCACTTGCACTGCTATACTTATGTAGTTACTCATAATGAGGATGGGTTTGGACACAGCAAAGTTGTGCTTTACCTGATCAATCCAGTAAGATGTTTTAAAATAGGGGATAACTTTTGGAATTTTTAAGTATGATGTTAAGGGGGACTCTTGCAGAGAAGAAACTCACATTCACTTAAGCAACTGGAGTGTGATCAAGCCTGTGAGGGAAGTATGGTGTGTCTATGAGGGCAGTCAAGGATGCAAGAGAGAACAGAACAGGGAGGCAGAGGCTTGTGAGGCAGTGGATTGAAGCACAGTTCATTGAGCCTAGATTTGATATTTGTGCATAATTGCAAAGAAGGACCTACAACGTTCACTGTGATGTGTAAGAGGATCATATTAAATTAAGGGCACCTAAACCCTGAGGAATTTATGGGACAAAGTCAATGATACTTGTATTTCATAGCTTAGTATTTTTTTAATTTAAGAAAAATCAAAAACAGGTTTGAAATTTCCTGTGATAATTTCTTTCGAAATCTAAAATATTTACATTAAAAAATGCCTTTTTTTTGATATCTCTGAACTGTTTATACCTTAATCACTGGCTCAGTCTGCCTGTTGTTGATCCAGTGCTGCTGTGCTGGACATTCAGTGTATAAAAACCCATGGACTGGACCATCTTCCAGTGAAATCAAGCAAGTTGTTTACATAATACGTAGAGTTTTTGCTGGTATTGTTATTTTTTGTTGGTGAGGGTGCTGGCTTGGGGATTAAAGGACTGAGCATTTTAAAATACCAACTGTGAACCATGTAAGCACATTTTCTCATCCTCCGGTCTAGTGGCTGTATCTATTTCAGTTTGAGCTTGAGAAAAAAAGACCATGGATCAGGTAAGCCTCCCATGCAGCTGTTTTATAAAGGACCTTTTGTATTTTCTTCGTGGAGGTAGCAATTTTCTTTTCAAGTGAGATTTTTGGAAAGGCTTTTTCTGAAGACTTAGAATGACAACACCTGGACTAGACCCCGAATACCAGAAAGGCAGGTTGCACCTTGGGGGTTAAGCATTTGAATCAGGCCATGTCCTGTGGAGTAGCTGCATCAAATGCTTTTGGAGAACTCTCTTGCAGAGTCACATTCACTGACCAGTGCTGCAAAAGGGGTAGCTCATTTTCTTTTAGATTCCATGAAGAAAATACCACTACTTTGTAGAAGCAGAATTTAAATGGTGGAAATGTTTCATCCATCACATGGCCAGTAAGCCTCGTGAACCTCCCCCATTGCTAACCTAGGGGCTCTAGCAAGGCGGGAGAGCATGGATAACATCAACACTGGCCGTAAATCAAGTGCCCAGTTAATATTTTCCACATTAAAATATTAAAATATCTCCAAAATTACCAAGAGCTGTTATTACTGGGGAAATAGTATCAAAACATACACGGTGTGTGTGTGTGTGTACATGGGTATGGTGTGTGGAGGGGTGTGCATGTGCATGTTTTAGGGGGTCAGTGGTAGGTCACCTACAAGAAGCATTACTGTGCATAAATTCTGGAGAGCCCTCTCAGGAGGACTTTATAAATCTTTCCCTAAATGCAACTCAGCTATCACACACAAAGTGCAGACAGGGGTATTACTCTTGCTCACACCAGCTACATGCCTACTTCTGAGTTCTGCGGTCTTTTCAGGTTCCCTATGGACACCGTTCATCTCAAATTATGTAGTGTAAATGCACGAGGCGGTCAGTGTGCCAGCCTCCGTGCATCATCTCCCAAATTCTTTGATTTACTGGCTTTGCCAACAACTACATGAAAATAACTGTTTCATCATGCAGTGACTGCTGAGCTTTGTAGTGCTCACCTAGTCAGGGTCTAATTCCTTAATAAGCTATGCCTTCAGTGGTTTCTAAAGCAAGACCAGGGGAACACTTGTTATTGAGTGGAGCCCCTACCAGTCTTAGTTGCTGTTAAGCCACAATTAGATGAGTTTCCTACAAGCTGTAAAATCATTTTGGCATTACTGATGCTCAAGGAACTTTTTGCATAATCTCTTGCTTTTTAAATTTTTTCGAAGTTGAAACTGATCCTTGTGTGTGCTGGGTGACCCTTGGTTTGCCTGTTACTCATCATGTCTATATTTAAGAGAAGGGCTGAGTATTAAGTTTACAGATGACTCCATCTTCACTTAATTTGTAGGCACACCATTTGCACACTCAGATTTGTCATTGTCTAGATATATATGTACATATAGTGCATGGGCTGTGTGTGTACAGAATATAAAAATGAAGGCCTAGAAATGGAAATGGTTTATATAAAGGCAGTATCCATTTATCAAATGCTTGATGTTTGCAAAACCTTGAACAGGCTGCTGGTTTTCATTCACTCTTTAAACATGTAAAAATTATTTGGCTGGAATGTTTGCATCAGTTGTTACTAAATATTAAGTTATAAAGATTTGAGGAGTTTCTATTGAAGAACTTAACACTCTCCATTCCTGATTCTGCCACGAGAGAAAGTGATAGAGTCTGTGCATTTGAGAAAGGAATGGTGCTGAAATGTTTGTTTAGGCTCTGAAAAGTCTTCAGTTAGTTGCAGGATGTTCATAGGGTAGCAGTACATCTGGGTTCGGCCACATGGCCTAGGTTAGGCTAGTGGCCCTACAGGAACAGGAACAGCTGTTCACTGTCACAAGTGTCATGGTTTGAATGATGCATTTATTAACCTTCTAGATGTTAACCATTTTAAGAAATTGGTGTCCTCAATTATGTAATAAAGATAATATTTACTCTGCAAACTCGATCAGTAAGAATTTTCTATGCTTCTACCCTGGACACACGTGACATGCTACAGGTGTGCATGACATGATTCTGCCCCATGAGGAATTTCCAACCTTCGTGTTTTCAGTCCACTGTAACATATTTGATAGTGCTCTGGGAAGAAAGAAAAGCACTCCACAAATGTAAAACGGTAACAATGAGATAACATCACTGAGCCTATTTCTCCATCCATAAAATGGAGAGAGATGTAGGATCCTTCTTACAAAACTGTGGTGAAGAATTAATGAAATAAAGTCTACAGTGGGCTGAGCACCATTCTGGTCATATGACTGAACTCAGATGTCAGCCCGAAATAAACAGATGAACGGATGGATGAATTAACAAGTAATAACTAGTAAATAAATTCACATGTGTGTTGAAAAGAATCAGAGTGGGAGAGAAAGGGACAAGCATTCACTAAACATCTATGTGCTAAGCAATGTTATGTTCTCTCTTCCTCTCTCTCTGTCTTTCTCTGCATCTCTTCATCGCTGCCATTTACTAACTCTGTGACCCTGGGCAGGTTACCTAATCGCTTTGTGCCTCAGTTTCCTCAACTCTACCATAGGACAGTAATAGTTTTTAGAACTTTCATCATGTAAAAAATGCTGGTGCATAGTAAGTGCTCAATAACCTTTAATTCCTACTATTTAGCTGTTACAATTTCCTGAAAAGCATACAATGATAACAGGAGGAAATGCACACAGTCCTCTACTGAGAAAAAATGGGGAGATCACACTGGATATCTTTGTTGCTAGGGGTTTAGAAAGGTTTCCAACTGAGTGAGACCTAGATCCTCTCTACTATTTGGTCCTGTACTCTTACTTTCAGCAAACATGATTGTTTCCCACATGATCACTTGCCACAGCTAAAACAACAAAAACGAACAAACAAACAAAAAAACCTACGTGATGTGGTTAAGTCAGATTTAGCTATGGAACTACAGACAGCTTAAAAAGTTCCTCCAAGGCCAAATCCAAATGCTTAAAATTCAGAGTGTGTCTCCAAAAATATTCGTGAACATATTCATGTAAGCAGTGCTTCAGTAACTAAGAGTTCTTTATAATAAGCATCCATTCCTCCTACCATGCCTCAAAAGGAAAATTGATGCTATTCTAGCTGAAAAGATGGTGAGACAGAGGGAGGTGAACTGCCTGGACTAAGGTCACATACTAAGTCAGCAGCAGAGGCAGACTCAGAATGAAGAGTAAAAAGAATGTTCCCCCCAACAACAGTGGTGCTTCAGTTCTAGGACTGTTACCTTTCATTGCCTTGACCTGAAGTTTTGGTACATTTAATTGCTTTTGAAAGCAGCAAGCTTTATACTTTTCTACCTACTTGGAAGCATTTTTAAAAATCACAAATTTCAGACTCACAGACATAGAAAGCAAACTTACAGTTGCCAAAGGGGAAAGAGAGGGGAGAGGGATAAATTAGGAGTTTGTGATTAATAGGTACACACGACTATATGTAAAATAAAAAACAAGGACCAACTGTATATGGCACAGGGAACTATATTCACTATGTTGTAATAACCTATAAGAGAAAAGAATCTGAAAAAGAGTATGTAGTTATATGCATAACTGAATCATTTTGCTGTACACCTGAAACTAACCCAACATTGTAAGGCAACTATACTTCAGTTTGAAAAACATCACAAATTTCTGCACACTTGTGGTCAAACTCCAACTAGCTGTCAGTGTATTAAAGACTGCTCTGAGTCCTACACCGCTCTGGCCTAAAACTATAAGGAGGCTGCCTCTGGCCCCATCCACAGTATCCACAAGACCAGAGGCAGCTGGTCTCACTCTGCCGTGGCTTCTGACGCTGAAACTGACTTCTCCAATTAGCCAGGTGGTATGCGGCACTGGTTTCTAGGTCTTGTCACACATCCCTGTTATTTGGGAAAGCAGTTTATTATGTTGAATCCTCATTATTTTCACTGTTAATAAAAATGACAGAGCATCATGGAGTTCTTAGCGAACATCTCAAGTCAATGTGGAAACTGGGGAATATTAAGTAAAGTGACCTGTCTCAGCAATTCATTTCCAATTTAAAGAGGAATGTACCTGGGAGAGTTTTGTAAGATGGCTTTGGCTTTGACTTGATTTGGGTTTTGTTCTGCTTTCATTTTGCCACTTAGCTGTCTGACTGCAGTGATGAACACTGAAATGTAGGCTGTCTCTTCTTTTTTTCTGAGAGCAACAAGAAGGCAGAGAGCTGGGAAGCCACTCTCCTTCCCACAGCCAAGCTTCAGGGGAGAGTGGCCCAAAGGACAGTAAATGCACTGCAGACAGGCCGCCTCGGGTCTGAGAGCAGGGGACATGCAGTCGCAGCTTGAGTGTAATGTGTGACCTTGGAGGTCTGAAGAAATAAGCCACCTGTGGAACTCTTACGTTGAAGACAATCAGCCCCGCTTTTAGGAAGCTGAGAAGGACTCCCAGGAGCCTTGCCCAGCACCAGCGCGGCCCCTCTGCCTGCGCAGTGTGGTCCCAGGTTACCTGTCCAACCATATTCCCACGGTGTCCTGTCATGCGCACCACGCTTTATGTAAACTAAACTATTTGCAATTTCCACTGCAAACCCAAAACACTCCTACCTTGTGCGATTCCTTCCCCTCAGACCCGTCGTACTCATATCTCCACCTGTGTTCCTCATCCCATAAACAGAAACTCTTCGCCAACAGTGCTAATTGCTCAAATGAAAAATTTGAAACCAGCCGTAAATTCTTTTCTAAGTCCACCTGTCAGATCTACCAACGAACCCTGATTCCAGCCACTTCTCACCCGGTCCCTTACTACAAAGCTGGGGCAAGCCTCCGCCTCTCTTGCCTGGATCATTGCAATAACCTCATCAGTCTTGTTTCTTTCCTTGCCCTCCTGCTGTCTGCTTTCAACAAAGGCTACCGTGCCAGTGGTGATTCATCAGACCTTGTGTGATGACCTGGCCTCGTCTCCACTCTCCTTGCGCCCTACTCATCCTTTTCCAGTCAGAGAAGCTTCCTTGCGTGACCCAATCACACCCAGCCCTCAGATCCCTGAAATTCTCTTCTCTAGGTTACACAAATAATGTTTCTCCAGGATCCTTTACAGGTATCTGCTTAACAGTCATAGTCTCTGTGAAATCTTACTATTTTTACCCCTGCACAGTATCCATCATTATCTAACCTACCATATATTTTATTCATATTGTTTTCTTATCTGTCATCTATCATTAGAAAGTAAGTTTATGGAAGCAGGAAGCTTTATCTATTTTGTTTACTGTTGTACCTCCCAGGCCCTAGAAGGGAGGCAGACATACAGTAGATTCTCTTTAGATATATCTAAAATGGATGAATAAATAAAATCACCCCTTCACGTTGCTGAAAGTCTGCATGAGCATATCAAAAAATGATTGAGTTCTTTCTCCCCCAAAGGGCTGTAGTTTGTAGAGAGTCCAGAAGCAGGCAACTCTTGAATTCCAGAGAGCAAGGATGATGAAATCTTCTTTTCAAAGAAATGTCAATATCACTATTAGGTCCTGGTTACAATTCCACAAACTCCCTGTAGGCACAGTTAATCTGAGGCCCCTTTGAAAAAAATGTCAATTACCTCTTGGTTTCTACTTTCTCTAGCAACGTGACATCCTCCCATGATTAATTCTCACTTCATTTTCCATAGCATCAACTTCAGAGCCAGCACTCACTCTCTTCAAACAGATTACTAAAGGCAACATGATAACCTGGCAGAATTGTCTTAACTTCACTTGTCTTTTTCCCTTTGAAGTTAAATCCCCTCTGCTCCTATCAGATTATCTGAGTAGACTGTATATGATGTATTATTGGTTTTGTTGTTCTATTTTGGTATAAACATTTTCGTGTATTCTAATGAGAGGTGAAATAAATTTGCAAATGACATGAATAATTATAAGTGTAAACATTAGCTGGGTATGTGACTACTGGGAGAATGCCTCAAAAAAGAAACAACCCTGTGGAGGCCAACAAAGAGAAAAAGCGACAGCTGTAATCAAGTCTCTCTCCCCTTCTGGCAGTTTAGACTGCAGACAGGCACTTGATGCTGAGTACAGGAGCAGACAGGAAGGAGGAGGAGGAGGAAGATCCCAACTAATTCCAGTTTACAAAGTTGGTAAGTTACTGACGAAGGGTGGATGGGCGCAGCGCTGGACTCTGAATTGCCTAGTGAAGAGACGAATGGCTCAATTACTCCTAACAGCCTAATATGCGTTATGGACTTACTTATAACAAGGCACTGTGGTAGGCGTTTCCAAGCAAACAGAGAAGAGTAAGCATCGCTTCTGGTTCCAAGAATTTTAAACTCAGTAGAGAGTAGAAGACAAGAATATAAATGACTACATTGCAAAGATCGAGTCACAACTTGACACAGAGATACAGGCACAGGCACGGTACGAGAGGCCCAGAGGGCTGGGGAGTTCAGGGGATAAAGAGGCCACAACCAAGTCATCTGTGTGTACTGGGGGGAGGAAGGTGGGAAACGGGTGTGGATGTGTGTGAATGCTGGGAAAAGTCTGTGCCTCTAGGAAGGGAGAATCCAGGATACATTGTGAAATATGAGTATGATTTTAACAGTCAAAGAGGAGCATGCCAGGAAGTAGATGTAAAGCTGGAAAAAGTCAGACTACACTAAGTAGTCCCCTGGGACGAAGCACAGGGAAGTGACGGCAGGCAGCGCTGAAAGGCAAATGGAGAGAATAGTAACACACTCCACGAACGTCAGGCTGCACGTTTGCACCTGTGGGAAATGAGGAGCCACGGAGGACTCTGAGCAGGAATGGGACATGATGAAAGCTCCCCAGATGGTGAGATTCTTTTCGGAGTTTCCAGCGGGAAGGCACAAGTGCCGCCCTCTCAGTCTCTCTTGGCCCTTGGCTTCCAGGGTCGCTGCAGAGATAGTCTGACCCACGGGAAGTGATTTGGAGATGGAAGCTGAGAGTTTGATCAGTGTGAGTCCTGAAACAGAGCAGAAACCTCACGGCAAATACACTGTTATTTTTCCTGTTTTAAAGCTGAGGAAACTGAGGTGCAAAAGATTAAGTAGCCTGCCCAAAGTCACACAGTTCGTTAATGTCAGAGAGACAGAGATGGGGCGGTGGGGGGGGGGGGAGCGGAGCGTGAGCTGAAAACCAGACATGCATTGTTGAATTGTTATAGAAGTACATACCGTTAGACATTTGCTTTAATACATTATAGCCTTGGGTAAATTAACTTAAAGCACTAGAATTTTAATGGGGATTAATGAGTTGAATTAATAGAAGTTTTAAATATGTGGCTGAATATTTTGGTAGTTCTAGTTAAATGCTTTTCGATTGCCTTGTTATGTTGACTGAACAGTTCTAATCAAAGACCACACAGAAATAGTTCATATACTGTAAGCTGTCAAGGCTGTGGTTCTCACGGAAGAACAAACAGATATTTGAAGCATGAACAAAGAGCAAAGCCTTCTAACTTTAATTGTAGACAGATAATTTTCCTTAATAATAGCAAGTGAACAGTAAGATTTGGTTTTGGAAATTAAGTACAAAAGCAATTTGGCAACCTCCTTTTTTTTTTAAAGAAAACATTCTCAATGCAGCTGAGGTGTTCTTGTCTGCTCCATTTAACGGCTTTTCTGCTCTGTTCTCGGATGGTGTGTGTGAAGAAGTCAGTTATAAAACATGTTGTAAGCACCCTTAGTAAGAAGAAGGTAGCGCGACAGCATCCCTTCTACCCAGCCTCTCACTCACCTGCGTAGGGATAATTGTAGCTAGACAGGTACTCAAAGAATTAGAAATGGGATTATCATTCAGAGAATAGTTATTCGGGAAGAAGCAGTATTTTTTCCTTTCAGTTTCCAAAAGAGGGGAAGTTGTGACTAATACTTTCTCTCTCTTCTCTTCCCGGTGAAACACTTAGCCTGAGAATAAATGTTTCTTCCTTTGGCTGTTCATCCTTTGGCTACTGTTCCCTCCAGAAACTTGAAGGGACAAGAGCGACATCGCCAATAATACTGGTTTTGCTCCTTTCTGAGGGCTGGACCATCATAAGGTTAAACTTAAACTATCTTTCACCTGACTGTATTCATGTGTGTACATTTCACTTCCGTAATTAAGCTGCAAAGGTCCCTGTACACAAAAACCTGAAAACGTGTGTGTGTGTTACTGTTAAAACATTTTTTGTGGAATAAGAAACATAGAAAAATCCTTTGGATTCAAAGTCTGGAAATCTTTCTTTTCTGAAGGACCTGAAGCTAATGGGTTTCTGTAATGTTTAGTTCTCAGATAGCATATTCATTATATTTCTGTTCTCCAAGTACAACAGACATCATAGAATTCCTTTTACTTCCTTTACTTGAGGCTGAGCTTTTATCAGAAATTAGTATTGGGTCAAGAATTTTTAAAATGTAAATTCTATTCTTACCCAACAATTATTTTAGAAATTATAATCCAACTAGACAGACTGCCTTAGGTCCAGCTTAAGAATTCATGGATAAGTGACTTCATAAAAGAAGGTGCCTCAAGAACCACAAAGAGAACAGAAGAAGAAGAACAGAGAAGAGACAGAATCCAAGCAAGACTGTAAAATCAACAAAGTCCCACTATGGTCACATCAGCCAGATGACACAGGGGGACACTGCAGTATAAAGTAAGCCTCAGTGTCTGTCCTGACCTGGGGCAGGGAACTGGGCTTCTGTACTCCTGTGCCTGTGTTAGCTAAGGGTGCTTCCAGCTGTTTGCTCCTTGTGGGCCAGGCAGCTCCAGAACCCCGAGAGCAGTTCGCCGAAGACAGGTGTAGGTGTGAGCGGTGCGAGCAAAGCCCACGAAAGCTGGGAGGGGAGCTTTATTCACAGCGTGGATACTACACAGACAGTTTAAAGTTTCGGTTAATTTACAGAGAAGAATTTTTGAACTTGACTCATTTAGGGCACTACAAATATATCAGAAATGTAGGAATAGAGAAAACAGAAGAGAAAACCTCCCCCCACAGGGCTAACATTCTAGAGGAGAAACAGTAAGAGAGATGTAGTGTGTGGATGGCAGTAAGTTACATGGAACAAAGCAGAACCGGGCATGGTTAAGAAGGACTTCCAAGGGCAAGAGGTTGTATGTAAGAAAAGGGAATATATGTATTTTAAATTAAAGATAGAAATGAAAAAGATCAACTGAGCAAAGACTTGAAAGAGATGAGGAATGCCACATGCATATTTGGAGAAAGATTTTTCTAGTCAGAGGACATCATTAGTGCAAAGGACATATATGCAGAGG